TACATATATATATATATATATATATATATATATATATATATATATATATATATATATATATATATATATATATATATATATATATATATATATATCGTTACTTGGATTATCTACTCCAATATTCACTATAAATGTATATTAAAACGTGTCAAACAAAAGTGCTTCACTCAGTGAAACTATTTTTTATCTTGCGCCTGGAAGGCGTTACACCAGAGTAGTACACATGACAAACCTACCCTGGATTATTGCCAGCATGTTGTGCAACATCAGTGAAACCAGAATGACTTCCAGGTATACCAACTCTTGATGGGTACACAAAGGCTGACGGGATAGCCTGGCGGTGGGTGAGTAATGAATGACTAAGGAAAGGATTGGGTAAGAAGGGGCCATGAGGGAATACTCCTCCATGTACCTGATTGTTTTCTACATCCCCATCAAGCAACGGAGGATCATTCTTCTCATATCCTCCTTTACCTGAGCTTGTGGACTGAAGCTCTACTTTCGTTAATTGTGATGTCTTGTCTGTAGTTGTTGGGCAGCGAGCTGACACTGTTTCCTTTGTTTCACTGACTGGAAATCCGTCAGTTTTTAAACTCGTAGAAAGCTTAGGGATTTCTCTGTAATTTGGATTGACCAAGGAATTTGTTTGCACATCAGAATTGGTATTTGTGAGGGAAGGTTCTTGCAGGCCCTGTGCACGGTTTAATTGTGCTACATTATTTACTATAATTTCTTTTTCAGACGTCATACCACTCCTTGTACTTTTATCTTCTCTGCTAAATCCAGACATCTTTCCAGTAGGTAGCCTTTCTTTACCATCTTCAGGCTGATCTGTAAAATTTCTGTACGTCCGTGTATTGGTACTTTCTAGTGAAAACGGAGGGTTTTTCATTAATGCAGTGGCACACTCGCCTTGTAGACCCACGTGGGGTGCGAGGTTTCGAAGAATAGGTGGTGGACTGCCAAGAGTCTGTTTATCAAGATCTTTTGAGCGTCTTGGGGAGACAAGGCGAGCATCGAAATTTTCATCTTTCTTGTACGTATCTTGGGAAGGCGCGAGCGGCATCTTATTGGGGTTTCCTACATCAAACTGTTGTTTTTCATTCAAAAGTTGATCGTGAGCTGCTTGATTGGAGAGGACTGTTGTTTCATTGCATTTCTGGGTTTTAAGCAAATGGTTGTTCAGTGTGGTGGGGTTGTTCTTCATATTACTAGGGTTTTCCACATCGAAATGCTGAGCTTCGTTTAATAATTGATCATGTGGTAATTGGCTGGATAAGAATAGTTTCTCATTGCATTTCTGATTTTTAACCATGTGATTGTTCAGTGATGTGTTGTTGGTCTTCATGTTGTTAGGGTTCACTACATCATACTGCTGTGCCTCATTCAAAAGTTGATCGGGTTTTGCATGGATCTGTTGTGTTTCCTTCATCTGAAATACTTGGTTTGAAAGGTCTGTTGTTGTCTCTTGGCATTTCTGGTTTTTAACCATGTGGTTCTCATGCAGTGGGTCACGTGTCTCTACCATCTCTGTATTATTTTTTACACCTGTCTGTGTGTTTGTAAAGAACGACGTACTGAATAAACTGTCCACAGATATACGGTAACCATACTTTTCATCCGGCTACTCTGCAGGGATACTGCTTCTTCTAATTGGTCATGTGGCATTTGGAAAGAATTCTGGGAATGACCAAGTAACGGTTGTTTTACATTGTTGTGCATCGCACGTGATTGCGAGTCCTGGCTTCTGTCGTGTAACGGTACTAAATTTTGCTCTAAAAGAAAAATGTTGCAATTATCAATCTGAGAAAAAACAAGAATCGTCATTAGAAAACATTGTCGCAGAAACATTTGACAATTTCGACGTCCCCCGTGTTTCCATTGGAAACAATGTTTGGAAAAAATTGCTTTCCCGCACGCGAAATTGTTTCCAAACACATCCAGAAAGTAGATATTTTGTTTTGCCAAGTATAATGGAAACCAAGTTTCCTGTATGCATACATTCTGGAAACATGGTAAGAAACAACGTTTCCCTAGTTCCTACTTACTGTTTAATATTTTGACGCCAAGCAGAATCCTTAGTTGGGTAATCACTGTGGATTAATGAAAATTATTAAAAACACTTACTAATAAGCAGTCAACTATACCTGTGAGGAATTTCGGCGGGATATTATTCTGTTGACCTTGAGCCATTGCAAGCTGCGCTGGCAACAAACAACCGTCCTGTAACATGTTTTGGTTAGCTGGAGGATTACTTTGAGATTTTAGCAAATCTTTTTGTGGAACAAATGAAGAACATATACTTGATGATAGATAAGTACCAAGACCACTTGTATTAAGATCCGCTAAAGAACGAGCCTCGGTTGGAAATACTGGGTTCATCTGATTCAATGGAATTTGATGAAGAAGGACAGGTGCTTGGAAATTCTGTTTGGTTCTGTCTGTTGTTTGTGTTCCTTCAACTTTCCCAGGGATAGTGTGTACCATTGTGGATGTAGCTTGTTTTGGAAGTGTCTGCTGTGACGCAGATCTTTGGTAACTCACTTCTTTGGTATAACCAACATTGCTGAATAAGAGACAAATGTAAACAGTTTTCATAAAGACTGTATATCTAATTATAAAACGAAGAAAAATATATGCCAGTTTATATAACATGAAACGAAGAAAAATTAATGCTCATGTAAGGCAATTACTTAAAGGATTAGTGTCACACCATGGTATTGCGGGCTCAAATTCCTGTTAGCTGCCATTTTATGGGCCGAGTACATCGATATAGATCTAGAAAAGATTTTTGTAAACTGTCGTATATTTAAACCATTTTTTGAAAATCCTTGCTTCTTTTATCTGATTTTTATTGGAAATGTACCACACAAGGCATTTTTTATCGTTATTTGTTGATATTGGATAAGATAAAAACAATGCAAATGCCCACGATACCATAGTGTGACACTACTGTACAATCCTTTTGAGGAAGAAATTGTAAGTGTATGTTGAAAAAAATTGCTGCCGTTTAAATCCTAATCTGAAGTTTTCCGTTGTGCTCAATTGCTAAAACGTGAAGCTTAAACACCCTTTTGCCTTGAATCCAGGGGACTGCAGCATGCGTAAGCTGACTACAATAGAAAATCAGTAATACCTAACATCCTGGCATCCTTCAGCTCCGGCTTGATTTGATGTCCGTACGCTAGAATCAGTTGTCTGTAAGGTGCTTGAATTTAGTCCTACCGTAGGTCGCACACCAGTTTTCTCAGACACTTGCTGTAATGGCTGCACATGAACTGCAGGTTTTAAATGTTGTGGTGTCGAGGACATGTTGGCATTATCATTCCTCTTTGACACTACACTTTCATTTTTACTTGGCTGTTTTCTCGTTCTTGCTTCATCATGTGCTTCGTTTCCTTTACTCTGATTTCGACTGTACGATCTCGGATGTCTTGTATTTGATTTCTCTTTAGGAAAATTAAACTTTCGTCTATCATCATGCTTTATATTAGTTCTATTTTCTTTTTGTCCATGGTAATGACCATCCTTTCCTCCATGGAAATGACCATCTTTTCCTTTGAAGTTACTCTTATTCTCCTGTTTATTTCCATCATCTTGTTTTAATACATCCATTCCAGGTTTCATTTCAACATGTTTGGTATGATCAACAGATGAATATCGGGGTTTAACAGAATTTACTTTCCCTTCCATAGGATGGTTGAATGAATTATCGTCCCTTCTATTTCTTACAAATCTGCGGTTATTTCCTTGAGGTCCTTTATTAACTTTTGTTCCTTCCATACTAGTGATATCTTTTCTATCGTATGTGCTTGGATATTCCCTAAATAGAGTTAGTAAGTTGTGATTACAGCACAATTAAGAAAATTAAAATATATTGTCACTAAGCGTCTATTAAAAAGCCACAACATAAAGTGACAAAATCCTAGATATTAACATTTGACAATTAAAATTTAACAATTGAAAGTTGACATGACGTGTGGTACAGTCAGTGCGCTATATATATATCTGGAGCGAGAACTCAAGTACAAAAAGTGAAGCCAACTTCGTGTTAAAGTGCATATGACATGAAATTTCTTATTTTTAATTTATTAAACTCTTTGACGACCGTACGGTTTCGCATTACATTATGACCCAATTTTTCTAATGTAAATATCTCGACGAGTATTTACCCCCCTTTTAATTAAACGAAAGAACTCTTTAAGCTGTAGTGTAACTTATTTTTCAGTTTCTTGTTTTTATGGTTTGTTCCAGAGATATTTCAATTTGTTTGATATGTAAATGAGTGTGAATATGTCCGCTAATTTATGACGTCACGTTGGTTGCAAGCTCAACTTACACTGGTTATAAATCTATTAAGTAAACTCTAATAACTGTAGACATCTGTTCACGTTTTTCTACAGTGTTTCATCACATTTGCCAGTGAGTGAAGTTTGAAATTATCATCTTGGATGATAGCAGTGATATTCAACCATTTTGAAGAGCTTGCAACCAACATGACTAAATGCAACCAATTTAAAGACTAATATTAGAATTTTATAAACTGAAAACTTGATTTAATTGGGAAAATGGTATAAAAACTGTTTAGTACAAGCTTCATAGCTATTGGACTTTAATGGCCACCATCTTGCCTTCACTTTTCTCATAGGCCGAATTAATGACTGATGTTCTTGCTCCAGATATATATAGAGCTCGCTGGGTACAGTCTATTACTCAAGAGGGGTCATCCTAAGGGCCCCCATTTTCATATATATATATATATATATATATATATATATATATATATATATATATATATATATATATATATATATATATATATATATATATATATATATAGCGTAAGATTTTGGTTTACGAAACACAAACAGTGCTCAATACCATATAGA